CTTGCAAGTGCAAGGTCCTGAGTTCGATCCCCAGTGCCAAAAAAACCCCCAAAACAAAACCCCAGTACTGCTATAAACAAACGCTATAAAATAAAGAACATACAGTGACAAATCAAACACATTCTATGGAAAAGTAGATTTTCTTTTTTTGGTACCAGGGATTGAACTTGGTACCTTGCGCTTGAGAGGCAGGTGGCAGCACCACTGAGCTAATCCCCAGCCCAAGGTATATTTTGAAATATGAACAGTCCCTGGGATACAGTGGTCTAGATCCTTCTTCATTAGCATGTGAGATACCGAGGTCCTGCAGTCACTCTCAGCAAAACTGTGACTTCTGGGTCTCAGCTACTTGGCCTCATAGGATAGGCCTTGCACGGCTCACTTCCTCACCAAGGTTGCTGTGATCTCCAGGCGGCAGCTCTGCTATCCTTGACTGGTTTTATCAGTGTGACCCCTTCTGGTGTCTGCCTCCCCCCTTCTGTGGCAGCCCACTCTTGGGCTTTTCCTTCAGTACTTTGCCACTTCTCCCCTCTGCCAGGGCAGAAATCCAGGCACTCTGATGTTGCTCTAGGGCCGGTCCTGGGCCCGCCTATATCCTTGCTGTGCTCTCTGGGTGATGTCACTCACCCCCATGGCCTTCACACCATGGCTGTGCCTCCAGCTAGATACACCTCGGAAGTCTTTCCTTAGCAACAGCGAGGGCCAGACATACCAAGTTTCCAACTTGTGCTGGGCAGAGCTGAGCCTCTTTACTTGAGCCTCTCAATAGCTGAGTTCAGATTCCCGGCTCCAGCCTGGCTGCACCCAAGGGCCCTGTGCACCCCGCTGCCCTGCACATCTTACCACCTGCCACCCTCGACAGATCCCAAACACAGCCCCCGCACACCCTGCAGGCCGCCTCCTGCTTCTCCTCCACCGAAGCCTGCTAACCAGATACTGCTTTCCTATCTCTTCTCCTCCCTCGGGGCCGAACTCCTACACATACTCTGGTCCCTGGTCTTTAACCCACACATCCATGCTGCAGAACATGCAGCCCAGGCAGGGAGAAAGAAGCCCAGAGACTGGAGTCATCCTTGTCACCCTCCCTGCCAGCTTATCCAGCATCATGCAGAGCTGATAGCCCACAGTTTGTGTTTCTTCTCACCTTCCCCTCTGTTCACCCCTAGCCCCAGTCAGTCCCCAAAGTGACCCTGAAACAGCCCCCATCGGCCTCATGGATGCTGAACTTGCTTCTTGCCAATGGTTCTCCATCTAAAGCTCCCCCTAAGCCAGCTACTGCCTTCAACACCTCCATACCTGCCTGCTGTGTGTGTAAAACACAAGTCCCAGAATCCAGTCCTCGCCTTGCTACCTCTTCCCCTGATTCCCATTTCCCAGCGCTGCCCGGGAAACGGAACTTCCTCAGTTCCTGGAAGGCACCACACACTTCCTCTCCATCCCTGCCTCCCTGACCATCTCACCCTAGCTAGCTAGCCCTTTGGAACCTAGATAAATAAATCCTCCTAATCTCCTACCCTGGCTGTTCATCAGAATCCTTTGGGGGCAGCTGTTAAAAATCCCAATGCCCAGCACATACCCCAGAATCCCTAGGGGTTGGACACAAGCACCAGAGTTTGCAACTGATTGACTTGAGAAAAACCAGGGCTAAGAACCTGCTTTAGGTCTTCAGGACTTGTGCTTTGCTGAGGCAGTGTCTTTCCCCATCTCCGCTCCCCAAACTTCCTCAACTCCCCTCGACGCATATCCCATTTCACTGTGAAGAACTTAGCAACTGCCCTCCTCAGACTGTTCCCAGCAAGGGGGACCAAGTCTGCTGGTTTTCTGCTACATCTTCAGGACCGGATCCAAAGGCGGCTTCAGTCAGGATTTGTTGTATGAATGGGAAGGTCACCTGAAGGGGAACAGGCAGCCTCCATGCTTTGAACCCCTTCCTTCAACAAACTCAGTGGCTGCCCCTTCAAATATCAACTCCCCCTTCATGTACTGAACATGGCCTCTAATTCCACTAATGTGATTAAAATCAGTGAAATTGGGATTTAAATTCTTTGTCTCATTAAAATGCAAATTTAGCCTGAAAATACACCACCTTCACAGAATTAGTCATTTACACTTTGCCCAGAATGATTTTATCAGCTCCTAACAGAGGGGCAGGAGGAATAATTCCTTTTTTTAAAAAAATTATTATTTCCTTGGGATTGAGCTCAGGACCTTCACACTGAGCTACATCCCTAGCCCTTTCTCCTTTTAATCTTTTATTTTGAGTCAGGATCTCACTAAGTCACCGAGTTGCGTAGGTTGGGGTTTTGAACTTGGGATCCTCCTGCCTCAGCCTACTAGAGTACTGAGATTATAGGCATGCACCACTACGCCTGGTGAACGATTTACTGAGAACATCCCACACTCTCTCATGCTCCAGGTACATCCACTAGTTCATTTAACAGAGCTGGCAAATTGCAAAATGAGGATCTGCACTGAAATCTAACCCTGTACCCTCTTGACTCCAGCCTGAGCTTGGAGGGGAGAACAGAACAGAGGGAAAGGACACAGGGAGGACAGGCCTGGGCCCTGGAAGGCCAACCTCACCTTCGTTGCAGGTGACCCAGGATGGTGAGGTGGTGGGGGAAGCAGTGTAGGCAGCCAGGGCGTCCACCAGGCTCCCCCTCCCTTTGCTCTCCTTTCCTGCTAATGTGTCCTACCAGTGGCCATTTCCGTCCTCAGCCTGTCTGTCTGAGGACTTGCTGTGTGCTTGGGTACACAGGCACTCAGCAAATCCTGCAGAAGATAGAAAGACTAGGAGAGCCTATGCTTCCTCATCTAACGTGCCTGACCAAATAACAGAGAGGCCCACGATTCACAAGGACATATTTTGTAGCTGGGTGTGGTGGAGCACACCTGTAATCCCAGTACTCAGGAGGCTGAGGCAGGAGGATTGGTAAGAGTCTGAGGCCAGCCTGGGCACAGGGTGAGCTTAAAACCAGCCTGAAGTACATAACAAGACCCTGTTTCAAAACAACAACAATAACACCCCAAATAACAAAAGGTTAAATTTTGCGTATGTACAGAAGTTCAGACTTTCCCAAATGGAGACACCGGAATTTGTATTTTCATTATATAAATACCAGGGCATGGCAGTGTAGTGAAATGTGCACGGCTTGGGGTCCGAGACCCTGAATCCCAGCTCATCACTTGGAAGCTGAGGGATCTGGGGGCTGCTCAGTGTCTTCTAGCCTCACTGGGCTGTTTTGAAGCTTCGTAGACTGGTCTCAAAGCCCCTCCTGTGCCTCTCTGAGCTGAGCAGAGAAATTACTCCAGCACATTCCCGGGTCCCATCTCAGTCCTAGGAAATCAGACCTGGAGGTGCAGCCAGGAAATGCATGCTAAACAAGCACCCCTAGGACTTTAGGCTGGGGCTGCAAGGCCAAGTGCAGTCCCTGGCCTGGGTGCACCAGGATCACCCAGGAGTGTGTTATGATTGCAGATCTGTGCTCCCACCCTGACCTTGTCCACGAGACCCCCAGGTGTCCCACTGTGAGACACACTGCTCTGCAACCTCCTGAGGTCCCCAAGGGCCCATCTGAAGCCCTGGGGAGGTTCCCACCTGCAGACTAAGGCAGACTTTTCCTTAGTAGGTGATGATGGGGGTCGGTGGGACTAGGAGGGGAAGAGATTGCCCCTGTAGGAGGAGCAGGAGGGAAGAGGAACCACATGGGGACCAGCCCCAAGGCTTTGTGCCCTCAGAGGTGTGTGAGGCTGGGCTGCCAGGGGAGGGAGGTTTGCTTTTTCACCAGGCAGAATTCCCAAGGCACTGGGACTGTGGTGTCTGGGGAAATTATGACCCTTGGGCAAAGTTAGAGACATCGCTGCTCATAGATAAAATGACCCTACAAGGAACTAAGCACACTTATTTATAAATATATTTATTTATTTATGGTTTTTTGAGACAGGGTCTCACTATGTAATTCAAGCTGGCCTTTAGCTCACTTTATTATGTAGCCCTGGCTGGCCTCAATCTTGTAGCCATTCTCCTGCCTCAGCCTCCTGAGTGCTGGAATTTACAGGAGTGTGCCACCATGACAGGCTCTTACATATTTTATTTCTATGCATCTTTTTAAAAAAAGCATCCTTAATATCATGAAGTTTGGTTTCTGTTTAACTATAAGAGAACAACCAAGGCCGGGGATTTAGCTCAGTGGTTCCACCACCTGCCTCGCAAGCAGAAGGACCTGAGTTTGATCCCTGGTACCAAAAAAAAAAAAAAAAAAAAAAAAAAAACAACAACAGCTAAAAAAAAAAAAAAAAAAAAAAAAAGAGAACAACCAAAACAGCTAACTAGAAATAAAGAAAAACACATATACTCAAAATCTCACCTTTTAGTGAAAATGTAGTTTAACAACCAACAGCACTACTATGTACCCACAGAAAGAGGACCATCTCAGTAAAGAAGGGCAAAATCAGGGCCTTCACAGAATCACTTGAAGATGCCTTGCATGTTGAGAGAAATGTTACTCATGGACCTTGAGTCCTGGTTTAAATATACCAGGAAGACTGATTTTTTTGTTTGTTTGTTTCACTACATAAACCAGGCTGGACTTGAACTCAGGATCCTCCTGTCTCAGCCTCCTGAGTACTGGGATTATAAATGTGGACGATCACCCTGGGAAGGAAAATGTGTTTAATGAGCAATTTGATATAAAGTGAAGATCTCCTTTTAGAAAATCCTCCCAGTAGTTTCTCTTCTTCAGGGTCCTAGATAGTTTGTGGGCTGCACCTGTTGAGGTGAGACACATGTTGCTCAGGATAGGTCTAGAAGAGCCCCTTGATTGGGGCTCTGTCTTCCACATTGACTCTCTGTCCTTCCTGTGCCCTCTGCTCTCCCCAGAAGCTTGCAGACGCTGGCCATGACCACATGGGCCAGCTGAAACCCTGTCACCACCCACCGTGTCCCTGAGCCGGGCACAGGGTACCCGGCATTCCCGCTCGGCCCTCTGGGGCTTGCTTACCTGCCAGGTACTCAATCACTGCTGCCATGTAGACGGGAGCGCCCACACTGATCCGGTACTTGAACGTCCCTTTCTTCAAGTAACGCATCAGCCTCCCCACTGGGAAGATGACTCCGGCCCTCGCCGACCGGGACAGCTTGGACATTTTCTTCTTCCCGCTCCGGCCCGACATCTTGCCTCAGTTTCCCTCTCAGCGTGCTGACACGCTGGGCTCCCAACACTAAGACAATGCTGTAAAGGAAAGAAGGCAGGGTTCATGAAGGGTGGCTGGAAACATCATGGGCACAGTGGTGTTGCCCTAGGACACTGCTGTGACACGTCGGCTGCCTGGTGGAGGTGGTGGACCGGGGTGCAGTGCTAGGGGTCAAAGCTGGGTGTGGCTCATTGCAGGGCCCCGGCAGGCCCACCCACAGACCCCTCCCCATGGAGCTGACCAGACCTGAGAGGCCACAGAGAGCTGTCATGGAGAGAGATGACATGGCCCTGAGGTCAGCTGAACAAGCATCCCCAGAGACGTGGGTCTCCTCCCTTCCAGAACCCGTGGGTGTTACTTTATACAACAAAGGGACTTTGCAAAGGTGATTAAGTTAAGGATCTCGAGATGAGGAGATTCCACTGGATTATCTCAGTGGCCTGTTAGGATCACTGAGTGGATCAGAGTGAGCAATAAGACACTCCAGGGCAGGAGGATACAGACTCTTTGGGGCCTCCAGCAGAACCCACCCTGCCAACATCTTCACTTGGGCCCACCGAGCCTGATTTTGGACCTCAGCACTGTCAGAGAACAGATCTGTATTGCTTTAGGGTGTAGGTTTGGTTTATTTTTTGACACCTGGTCTCAATCTGTGGCCAGGTGGCCCTCGAACTCCTGGACTCAAGCAAGATTCCTGTCTCAGCCTCCAGAGAAGCTGAGACTACACAGGCATGCATCACCGCTCCCAGCACAACAGTTATTTGGAACTTGGACCCAACGTGCATTTCTCAGATAGAAACACTTTTCTAAATTCTCCGATATTGTAGTGATCTTAGAAGCCAAAACAGGCCAGAAAGGGCGGTTTTATTACATACACTTCTGGAGAGTAATCAGACACAGCAAAGGAAAGCCGTAACATAACCCAAGCTCCCACTCCATGGCATGAGGAATCCAGATTGATTTTGGGAAAAAAATTCATGTTAGCATGAAGAGGAGACTTCTGTATCATGCACCAAAGGTCAGGTCTATGATTCACCGTTACTTAGGAAGCTATCTTTTGTGTGATGATAAAGTCACTACATCCTCCTGGCTAAAAATAATCCAGGGTCCAAATTTGATCCCCGGTACCAAAAATAAAACAAAACAAAACAAAAAATAATCCAGGGAATGGTAGTAGAGCTTGAGTGGGCTTGAACTGTTGGTTGAGGAAATACTTTGGCCAAAAAATGCAATATAATTCAGAATAAATAGAAGTAAATTACAAGGGACAAATAAATAGGACCCAGACATTTTCTAGGAGATGTGTTAATGAACCAAAGCTCCTCGCTTCAGGACAACAGCCTTCTTCTGGAGATGGAAAATGAGAAGGTCAAAATAAACTGAAATCTTTTCTATCTTTTGAAGTGGCCTCACATTATCACTGCGTCATCTTAACCAACAGCCACGATGGCAATGAAAATGTCCAAGAAAGTGGCTGAAACTATGAGGGAAGAAAGCAAATGCATGACTAGTAGGAAATGGATACAAAACTGAGATTCACTTAATCTGGATGAAAGCATGGACATAAAGTGTAGTTTTTTACAGTATGTGATAGCTCTCTTTTGACCCAGGAGCGTTCTGCAGTAACTAAGGAATTAGGCAAACTCCATTCTCAACACCCAGCTATTCCTGAGGTGAATGAGGTGTGTTTAGGACATTTATTACATACTTCACATGTTATTTTTAAGTGTTTATATGTACTTACTACTCTCCTATTTTATATGTCTTTTTGCCACCAAAGAATGTAGTATTCATTAGTCAAATATAAGCAAAAATAGTACTGGGGGTTGATTCCAGGGCCTTCGCACTGAACTACGTGCCCAGCCTTTTGAGACATGGTTTTGTTAATTTGCCCAGGCTAGGCTGGAAGTTTTGATCCTTCTGCCTCAGCCTCCCAGAGTGCTGGGACTGCAGGCATGTACCACCACCACACCCAGCAAATGTTTCTTTGGCAATAAGACACTGGGACAAAACAATGTGGCATGTTTGTAACTTCTGAGTTTTCTGTGTTCCTGCTGCCTGACACTGCTCCTGCTCATTGATTCACTTATAGAGATGTCTTCCTGCATTTTAGGACATTATCCACCAATGTGATGATACTGAGGAAACTGAGGCCAAACACTGGCAAATGCATGGAGCACGTGCTGTTCCAGAGGATAGGGGACATAAAGCAATGTTAAATGGTCCCTGTCTTCATACCGCATGCTTGCTAGCTGGGTGGTGGTGCTCAGTCGCAAGGTCTTAGTAGGGTAGGAAGAGCCCAGACTGGGGATAGGAAACCCTGGTGTGTCCCACTTCTGCCTAACTGACAATGTGAGCTCCCGATGTCATTTGCCTGGGCTTTGGGGCATCATCTGTACAACAGGGGAGATGGCTAATTGAGGTTCTTCTAGACACTTTGATTTTGCTAAAATGCACTTTCAAAAGGTTTTAGAAAAAAAGCTAGGTCCCTTTAAGAAGTTGGTTCTGAAGAGTTCAGCACCTGTTCAGGTTTACAGCAACCTCCTAGTGAATTCACTAAACCAATTATGTGCTTTTTTCAGTTACTGCTAAGTGTGTGTGTGGGGGGAGGATTAGTAGGTCTGTTGCCAAGGAAACCACCTGAAAAGCCATCACGGGGTGGACACACCCTGTGGATATGGAGTGCACTGCACGGCCACAATCTCCCTTTACCTTTTGGTCACCACAGAATGAGGCATGAACCACAAAGGTCACCTTGCATACCCACGCACACACATACACATTTTTCTCAAAACAGCTAGGTGTGCTGGATAAAGCCACCTTGGGACTTTCTCAGTATTACCCAACCAGTGACAGATACTGCCCTAAAAACTGGAAATCAGGACCAGCAGCAGAAGAAAAGCAAGTTACTTTAGGGAACTGAGGCTTAAAATATTCATAAAGATAAAACAGCCACGTAAGGAAAATCAAGGTGGATCAAGTAGAAAAACACCAGTCACGAATTGTAAAAAGGGACCTAAATGTAGGGACATCGCAAACATAGTCCTTTACACCAAGACTTTGCCTTCTTGGACAGAGCTGAGGATGCAGCTCCAGGTGAGCTCTACCTGAAATGGACTGATGTGCTTTAAACAGGACTGGAGGCTCTTTGTATTTTGCAGGGAGCCCATCTTTTCAGACACAGCGCTGTCTTTAAGCAACCAGGCATCCACCTACCTGACCCTCCTGGGGTGCTGGGACTGTGAGGTGCATGCACCTTTAAGAGTCAGACCACATCCGGGAATTCCTGGGGAAGCGGGGAGGGGCGGGGGGGCTGGGGTGTCACACCTGCCAGAGCCACCAGCAGGAGGAAACTGGAGGCCTGGACCACTCAAAAGACCTTGCTTTCTAAGGCCTCCCCTCCCCTGAGCCTGTGCCAGGCTCTGTCTGAAGGGAGAAGTTATAACCACTAACTTCCTTCTTTTCTAGACCTCCTTTTCTTCTCATTTTTTTCAGTCTTGGGAAGAAGTCTGGAGTTAGAAATTTGGATGGGCCTGGGTGTGGCAGCGCCTGTAATCCCAGCACGCAGGAGGATTTTAACAAGTTCCAGGTCCCAGGCTGGCTTGAACTAAATAGCGAGACCCAGTCTCAAAATACAAAAAACAAAACAAAAAATTGGATGGGTTTGTATCCACTTCCTGTGAATTTGAGTCTCCATGTACGTCTCTTGTTTAAAGAGAAAAGAACTGCTCCAAGTGGAAACGTGTTTCCATCTGACTGATACTCACACGTTTACATTTATTTACCATCTGCTCTGACACAGTTTTGCTTTGATTAGGCAAAGCTCAAGGACGACAACACATTATGATTATGTATGCATCTGAAGAAGGGATGTGGCTGCATGAAGACCTTCGAGGCATCACACACACTGTGCAGGGTCCCCTGGGGGCCAGACAGCTGTATTCGGGGGTTGTCCTCCAGCACAGGACAGGGGAGGGCACGAGGGTTCTTTAGGAACCAGATAAAGGTTAGATCTGCACTGTACAGGGCCAAAAGACCACGGTAGAAAGTCTCATAATTACTCCCAAAGTGAATTTGAGGGTTTTGAGTACTTTGACGGTGGAGGCCAGGAAAATAAAACTCCAAACTCAGGGAAGAGGAGGGAGAATTAGGGCTGCCTGCCCCTTCCTGTACACCCTGGGGCCCAGCAGTCTGACAACATGATGGGTGTGTGTGCTGGGGCAGAGGGTGTACTCAGACTCTGTTGTTTTAGGATTTATTTCTACGATCGAGTTTTAAGCCCATAAGGACACCGACAAGTCAGATTTTATGGATAACCCAGGGTAAATATTAAATTGCAGCACCAACTCAGACATGGGCAATAAACTCACACTAGCCTATTCCAATAACTACTATATTTCACTGACTTTACGTTGTGCTTTTTTTTTTTTTAAACATTTTACTATCTCTTGTGTAATGGATGTTGGGAAATGGGAAGAAAGTGTTAAAATGGGAAGGGGAACAAGGGAGGAGGGAGGGAGAAAGGAAGGGACAAGAAAAAAAATGAAAATAGGAAAAAATGGAAACAAAGCTTTTGTACATAGGGAGGGGAGGGGACTTGAGGGGAGGAATGGAATAAAATAAAAATTTATTAAGAGCAAAACAAAACATTTTACTATCTCTAGAAATTGGTATGCATCAGGCAATCAATGACATCATAGTACCCCTAAAAGGTAGTATTTCTGGAATGTTTGTGACCGAATATGAAACTATATTAGATGGTGTGGCATTTACATGACTCTTGTCCTTAAATATCTTGTAAGGAAGTTGCATCGGAAAAAAATAAACCATAATACCATAATAAAGATAATAAGCCACAATAAAATTTCAAATAGATGGCAGCCCCAGACCACAGTTGAACCCACAGGGGCACTGTGGGATAGCTGAGGGCTCAATTCTTGAATTCTGTTGGACCCCATCACTCCCTGAAGATGGTTCAGTGCCAGATTGCATTATGTTTGATGATGTCATAGTTTTGCAAAGACAGGTATTATTATTA